TTCCTGCCGTGAAGATCTGCCCTGGTCACGTGACTGGGGCAAACTGAAATGGAAACGCGTCGCCTTCTAGGAAAGGAGCCAGCACTACCTTGATACAGGAAAACCAAAACTGTCTCTGAGGTTCACATCGCAAAAACGCCTGTAATGTCATTTGATGGACTTCCTGTATAAGGTGAGTTTGTCGCCTTTGTGCATAGGCCGTTTGTGTGACATTTTGGCTTGATGTTATCTTTCCCCGCTTTCCCCGAACAGAGATTGTTCCAAATGTTGTCTGACTTTGCTTCTTAAGGTAAACCTAACCTCAGCACGACCCCTGCAGCTGTTTAATGTTCAGTCTTGTTCTTGAGGGTTTTTTTTCTATGCCCAGTAGCTCATTTCCTTTTCTCCTTAAGCTGCAAAAATAGAAGTTAATAATTACTTCCTTATGTCATCTTAATGCATGAGTAGTTGTAGATAGTCACTCCTCTGATGGTCAGCAGTGAGATTATGAGAGTTTTCTTCACAGGGGCTTACAGAGATTTTTTTTTTTAGTGGTTGTAACCAAACCACAACGAGTTAACTGTTAAATTGCAAAGCAAACAAGGAAATGAACTTCCTACAAAAAATAACGGGGCAAGTGTTGTGGGAGTGTTCTCTGTTACTTCTCTCCTTGGAAAGGAAATTCTGAAGTCACGGTTTCTTACAGAGCATCTGCTGGTTGGTGACCCTAAGCTAGCTAACTCCATTCTCTCGGGGTGCAACACATGCTTCCTTCTGCCCCTGCTGCCGTGTAGGTCACCTTGTTAGGAATGTAAACAGAGCATGGAGAAATGGCTTAGTCAGCCCACATTAGCAAATTAACTGAGTCAGTGTTAGAATTATTGGGGAGGATCCTTTATTTTCTCCCCTGTAATAGTTGTTATAGTTTACACGTCTGTGAGCCTCGTTGGGTCCACTTTAGTTTAAGTGACGTAAAATTTGTCATCAGTGATTTTGAGAACTGCAAGTTTAGACTATTAAACTTTGTTTTTTAATGGGAAATGTTGCACTTAACTGACACTGGGACTGTTGTGGAGAACAGCATCAATAAGCTAATAAGGAGAGAAAACTTCTGAGTAGAATTATTTCAGCTTATTGGTGCTGCCCTCCACAACTGTGGCGTTTCTCACGAGGTTCCATTCCCGCTTTACAGGTTTTAGTATGTAGAGCTTTATAAACATGGTATACGTGATTCCAATTGTTATGTTAAGGGATGCTACAAAAATATTAAAAAATCAGCTTTAAACGGGATAGATGGCCTCTTGTTGCAGGTTAAAATCAAAATATTCTTTGCCTGTTGACTATTTCACAATCGTAATCACGCCCCTCTCTTTGATTCCTTTTAGGGAGTCTCACCCTTGAACTTCACGTTGAGATTGAAATGCACACTTTGTCTTTGCGGCATTGAACTTTGACCTTTCAGTAAACTCTTTCAGTGAGCCGTTGGCCGTCTGTGATTGGGATCAGCCCTCTGTGGTTTGCACTACCTCCTCTTTCAAACTTTTTTTTTTTTTTTTTTATCATTCTAGCTTCATTCTTCCTGTGACGTGTATCTGACTCCCTCTGTATCTGACTCATCTCACTTGAGTTTGTAAACTCAGTTTGTCAGTTGGACATTTTAAATAAAATGAGGCGTAGAAACACGACCCCAGGCTGTGTATACTACCAAATTGCGTCAGACTGATGGCTGGGAAAAGCAAAACTTTAAACATGGCCTTTTTAATGCATGATGCAACAGGAAGGTTGTTGAAATCAATGTTTGTAATAGAAATTTGAGCGCTGGCTGAGGTAACACCTGGGTTACAACTCTTCTGCTTTCACACACTGTTCTGGAAAACTGAGCACAATCTGCAGTGGGATTTTCTTGCAGTTGATTTACTTTAAAGATATGAGTTAATACAGCGACACATCAGCCACATGATGTACAACATGATCACTACAGTGTCTGCACCCCCGCCTCCACTTTGCTTCCAAGTGCTGACTGTGGAGGATTTGAGACTGCCTCACCACACAAATAATCTCCTGCAGCCTCCACATGCTGAGTGTTGGTTTCTTTCTACAACAGTCTCTGCACATGCATGCCACTCACTAAAACCTGCATTAAAAATGGATGCATTACATGTTTCAGCAGTCTTAGTGCAGCAGATACAGTAAACTAATGTTGAAAGGAAATCTTTCACAAGTGGATAAAGGTTTTAAAATTGGCAAATACATTATTTGATAAACCCTGTTAGCTATTTGAAAATCACTTTTAACAAAATATATATTTTTTGAGGAAAAGCTAACTAGACATGCCCCTTTTAAAATTATCCATCCATATTTCTTTTGCCGCATATGTGGTATCAGGTTATGCAGGAAGCAGCTCAGGCAGACTTTCCTCGCCCTGGCC